CGCTGCCTCCACCACCGCTGCCACTGCCTCCACCACCTCCACCGCCGCCACTGACGCCCCCACTCCCGCCACCACCCTTTCCTCCACCCCCACCCCCTCCGCCTCCTCCACCGCCACCACCGCCACCCCCGCCGTCCCCTCCACCACCCTTGCCCCCCTTGCCCTTGCTGCTGCTTCGCCTCCCACTAGGAGCAGACGCAACCCCATCCTCCTCGCTGCCAAGGAGGTCGACAGCAGCAGCAGAAGCAACAGAGAGCAGAAGGGGAACGGGGGAATACCCCTCAAAGAACCGGGCACGGGGGTCGTCGGAGAAGCACCTACAGCAACTATACTCTTCTCAGTTGCAGTAAGGCGCTCCTCTAGCAGGTCGACGGTGAGCCCAGTGGGGCAAAGGGAGAGAAAGTGGTCCCTGACTGAGGAAAGGGAGTCAGGGAGACGTGTGACTAAGTAGAAGAGGGTGATGTACATGGGGGAGGGGGGGGGGCTCTTAGCGCAGAACTAGGGGGGAAGCGCAGCGCGGTAGCGGGCGTCACTAGTGCGGAGGTGAGTAACGAGGTCAGCGACTGTGGCAAAGGCGGCCAGGTCAGGGAACACGTACGGTAGCATGAGGCGGCTGAGGGTGGCAGTGGTAGGGGAGGAGTAGTGCGCTACGACAGCGTCATACAAAGACTTAGCAGTCTTGTACTGGCCAAAGTGCGTGCGCTCAGCAGAAGGCAGGTGACTACGAATAGTAAGGTGAGCAACAGCGTCACGAGAAGTCCACTGTGAGCGAACTGTACTGTCAGCATTGGCAGCAGGCGCAGCGGAGGCGCCAGACGTGAGATCAAAAAGCGAGACTCCATCCTTGCTATCGCACTGAAGAAATAGCTGCAGATCATCTACCCAGACATTGAAGTCAACTGCACGTCCCTTAGCATCGAAGGTAAGAACCGTAGGGCTAGCCATGGCGGCAGTAGCAGCAGTGGCAGCAGTAGCAGCAGAAACAGCAGTAGCAGCAGGAGCAGCGTGGTCAGGGCAGCGCGGCTCAGTAGGGCAGCGCGACTTGGCTGGGGCGGCGTGGCTCGGCGGAGCGGCGCGGCTCGGCTGGGCGGCGGGGCTCCACTGGCAGGCAGGCACGGGTAGCGCGCGTAGGGCAGGTGCTCACCAGAGGCGGGCAGGGCAGGCGCGACGGCGGGGCCGCAACGGCGGCGATGGCGGCGGCCGCGACAGTGGGGCCGCGACGGCGGCTGCAGGCGCGACGGCGGCAGGTCATGGCTGCGACGGGTGCTGTAGGCGCGACGGCAGCTGCAGAGCAGGACTGCTACGGCGGGGCCGCGACGGCAGCTGTAGGTCAGGGGCCGCGATGGCGGCTGCAGGTCAGGGGCCGCGACGGCGGCTGTAGGTCAGGGGCCGCGACGTGGGGCGACAGAGCAGGGCCGCAACGGGCGGCTGAGGCAGGCCGCGACGTGGGGCGGCAGGGCACGGCCGCGACAGCGGGAAGGGTAGGGCCGCGACGGGCAGCAGGGCAGGGCAGGCGCGCGACGGCGGCTGCAGAGAGGGCAGGCACGCTATGACGCGTAGGGTAGGGCCGCGATGGGTGGCTAGGTCAGGGCGCACGACGGCGTAGGTGAGACAGGCGCGACAGCGCGCTTCGAGCAGGGTAGGAAATTTCGTGGTGGGCCCTAAAAAAACCGTTCCCACTAGGGAACCTGCTCAGAAACCATGTGAAAATAGAAACGAGGAATGATGGAATTAGCAAGCAGGTGGGTACAAGTAGGAAAACCTAGAAGTGTTGTACCTTATATTGACTACCCCACTATAGCCTACACAGACTATGTCATATAAGTTTGACATTTGCCACATCAACATCATGAGTGGGTTGTCCGGTGGGGTGCTACTACTGGAGGTACCTATGAGTCTACTCCTGCTGGTAGTGCCGCTAGTAGACGCGGAGGTTTTGGGGGTGGGCAGCAACAGTAGGAGCGTCCGCTAGAGACTTTCTCCCTGCAGCAGCTTCGTGAGTGGGCCGTCCGGTGGGGCAGCCCCGGTGGCGGAGGGTTTTGGGGTACTCGTACTGAGGGTGTAGAGGCACCTGGGGACGTAGAGGCTACTATTCTTGGTGCGTGTGACTCAGCTAGCGCAGGGGCAGAGCCTGAGGAGGCCTTGCACACTTTTACCCTAGACTCAGGCACGTCTCGCTGCTTCTTCCGCGACAACACCACAGTCATACCGCTCACAGCCCCTGTCCCTGTCACACTGGCCGACCCCTCCGGGGACCCGGTAGTCGCGCATGGCACCACTGTTCTCCCCTGTCCGGCGGCCCCTTCCGGCCTCCTCACACGTCTCCACCTCCCCTCATTCGCTAAGAACTTGGTGGCTACATCTGTTCTCTAGGACCAGTGGGTCACCGTCACCCAGCCTGGAGGCAAGCTAGTGGCAATCTGTACGGACTCGCGCACTGGTGAGCACCTTGTCACGTTCAGTCGGAGGCTTGGGTCTGACCTGTACACACTGACCACTAAGTCTGCACTGGTAGCTGAGTCAGGTCAGGTAGCTGCGTTGGTTGAGGTCGCTACATCTTGCTCGTGTCGTCTCCTCACGCACCAGACTCTCCTCTGGCACCACCGTCTTGGCCACCCCTCCTTGCCACGCCTTCGAGGCATGCATTCCCGTCTCCTTGTCTCTTGGCTTCCCAGGTCCCTGCCCCCGCTCCCGAGGTCGCTTGCGAAGCCGTGTCTTCCTTGTGTTGAGGAATGGCAGCGCGTCGCTCCTCACTCCTCCTCGTTTCCTCTAACCACAGCTCCTCTGCAGACCCTCCACATGGACGTGTGGGGTCCAGCCCGAGTCCCAGGACAGGGCAGAGAGCGCTACTTCTTGCTGGTTGTAGAAAACCACACGCGCTACACCGTGGTCATCCCCTTGTAGAGCAAGGCAGAGGTCCGCAGTGTCCTGATCCGCTGGATCCGCACTGTCCGTCTCCAGCTTCGCGCTCGGTTCCGTGAGGACCTCCCAGTCTTGCGGCTGCACTCTGACCGAGGTGGTGAGTTTTCCTCCAGCCTCCTCGAGGACTTCTGTGGTGCTGAGGGCATCTGCCAGACGTTGACGCTTCCGGCCTCTCCACAGCAGAATGGGATTGCAGAGAGCCGCATTGGCTTAGTGATGGAGGTTGCTCGCACCTCCATCGTCCATGCGGCTGCTCCCCATTTTCTGTGGCCATTTGCAATCCGATATGCTGCTGAGCAACTCAGCCTCTGGCCCCGTGTCTCCCACCCGAAGACCTCTCCTACTCTGCGGTGGACGGGCGAGGTTGGTGATGCGTCGCCGTTTTGGGTCTGGGGTGCCCTTTCGCTTGTTCGCGACCCCCCTGCGGGGAAGCTCTCTCCCCGCACTCTTCGCTGCGTCTTCCTTGGCTTCCCTACCGACGCCCCAGGCTGGCAGTTTTACCACCCGGGTTCCCGTCGTGTTCTCTCCTCCCAGGACGTCACCTTTGACAAGTCTGTCTGTTTCTACTTTCTCCACCCCCACCGCAGTTCCCCCGTGCCTCAAGAGGCAGGCTCTTGCACTGGTCTCCGACCCCCCCCCCCCCCCCCCCCTGGTAGCCCCATTCCCCCTGCACGGTCCTGCTCCCTCAGGTGTGTCTTAGGTTGACCCGTCCCCCTTGGTTGAGCTAGTTGAGGTCTCCTCTGACACCTCTGGCCCAGCTGAGGGGGGTGACCCGACTCAGTGCCACACTGACCCCTCGCCGCTCTGCGCGCTTGGCGGTCCCTCCTGGGTTTCCGCCTTGACCGTCTTCACCGCCGCTGCAGCTTGATGCTGTGGACTCTGGTGCTGCAGGAGGTGGTACCACTGGGGGTGCTGGTTATTGGGGTGCTGAGTGTCCTCTAGGTACAGGAGGTACTGGAGGTACTAGTGCTGGTGGTCGTGGTACGCGTCGGCAGGAGGCTCTCTCGCCGGAGCAGCTTCGCGAGTGGGCTGTCCAGTGGGGCAGCCCTTGTGGTGGAGCTAGCCGTCTTTGAGCGAGAGGTGCTAGGACTACTGGAGCTGGAAGTGCTAGCACTGCTGGAGCTAGAGGTTCGGCTATTGGTGGTACTGGTGCACGCCGGCAGGAGACTCTCTTGCCGGAGCGGCTTCGCGAGTGGCCTGTTCAGTGGGGCAGCCCTGGAGGTGGAGCTAGCCGTGCTCGTCCTACTAGATCTAGAGGTGCTGGGACTCCTGGTGATGCTGGAGGTGCTGCTGCTGTGGGTGCTGCTGCGGGCAGACCTGGTGGTGGCGCTGGACGTGCTGGAGCTGCAGGTTCTGGAGGTGTTGGCCCTGGAGGTGCTAGTGCTGGTGTTCCTGGTACTAGAGACACAGGTGCTGCTGTAGGTACTGGAGGCGCAGGTGCTACTGGGGGTACTAGAGGTGCTGGCCCTGGAGGTGCTAGTACCGGTGGTCCTGGAGTTGGCCGTGCTGGAGGTACTAGTACTGGAGGCGGTGCTGGACATAGGAGGTACTGCTGGAGGTACTGGAGTTAGTGGTTCTAGTCGACAGGAGTCGCTCTCACCACTACAGCTTCTCGAGTGGACTGTCCGTTGGGGCAGTCCCGGTGGTGGAGCTGGTGGTACTAGTTCTGGGGGTGTTGTTGCTACTAGAGCTGGAGGTTTTGGGGGTGCGACTACTCAGGCGCAGCCGTCTGCGCTTCGTCACCTTCTCAGTCTCCTGCCTGCTGCTACTGAGTTTCCGGTTGCTGGTTCTACTCCTCCATTACTGTTCCCACCGACTGACAAGTCTCTGTTGGAGCAGGCTAGAGCTCGCTCTGGCCTTTATTTTGGTGTTCTTATATTATTTCTCCATGCTTAGAGAGAGTTACGCATTCAGGTTCATTTTCGGTTCATTTTGTAGTTTTTAGTACAAACCGAACACACCCTAGGTTGAATTAGGGTTTCCAACCCTCTCTCTTTTGTACCTCGACATTTCTCTTCCTAGTGCAACTTTTTACCTCACCAAAAACTCTCGCCATCCATGGCTTCTCTAACTTCAACATGGTATTCAGAGCCTAGTCCTAGGCGTTTCCCTTTTATCCGCATCTCTTAGAAATTTTCTGGTCCTTAGGCCATTTTCGCGCTACTTACCTAGACGATTTTCTTTTTCTTCTATTCTATCATTTCCTTAAAGTCACACTTAGCATCCTCGTGGTTTTCTTCATTTTGGTCACGCGGATGCTCTATTTCACTCCGTAGCGCGCCTCCCTACCGTCCGTTCGCTCTCCTGCGCCTTCCCCCTTCGTTGCGCCTCCTCCTCTTCACGTTCCCGGCGGTAGCGCGCTGTTTTTTGCTCGTAGCACGCTCAGCCACCCCCCCCCCCCCCTCCCCTCCGCCCCCCTTCCCGTCTCGTCGCGCGCGCATTGCGCTGCCGTCGCCGCGCGCGCTTTGCTTCGTCGAGCAACGCGCGCGCCTGCCCCCCCTGCGGCGCACCCTGCCCCTTCCCAATCCGCCCTCCCCTCCCTCACCCTCCTCCTCCTTTCCACTCTCCTTTGTCCATCCCTCCCTATCTCACCTCTTCCTCCTCCTCCTTTCTCTCCTCATCTGCTGCAACTCGTACATACTTGTGGCGCGCCCTTCCCACAAACCCGCCCCTTCACCATCCTCCTCCTCTCCTCTCTCCCTCTACCTCCCCTTCCGCTCGTTTTCCTCCACCTATTTTCTCTCCCCATCTACTGCAGCTGGTGATTGATTGTGTATTGAAGTTGTTGCTCCTCCACACCTTTCCTCCTCCTCAGTACCCTCTCCTCAACTACTCAACTATTAACTCCTTCACAACTATCCCTCCTCTTATTTCTCCCCTCAGTAGCACAACAGCAGACTACCCCACCACTATCCCTCCTCCTCTAGTTTCTCCCCTCAGCGGCGCAACAGCAGACTACTCCGCCACCATCCCTCCTCCTCTAGTTTCTCTCCTCAGCGGCGCAGCAGCAGACTACTTCGCCACTATCCCTCCTCCTCTTGTTTCTCCCTTCAGCGGCGCAGCAGCAGACTACTCCGCCACTATCCCTCCTCTTGTTTCTCCCTTCAGCGGCTCAGTAGCGAACTCCTTCGCCCTTATTCCTCCGCCTCTTATACCTCTCCCCTCATCTGCTCTGCAGCTGTCTCCTCCTCCTTATGGCGACCTCTCTCGCCCTCCCCTCCCTCCCTCTGCTGGTCCTTCAGCTTGCACCTGATGGGAGCGCGGTCAACTTCCCCAGCTGGCTGAACCGTCTCGAGCGCACTCTGTCGGGCACCCTCGTGAGTGGCTTTAACCTCTGGTTTGTCACTAAGCAGAGTGGTTCTGGTGCCATTCCTAAACCTGCCTCTGGACCTAGCTCTACCTCCTCTGACCCCTATGCTGATGGCCTTCGTGCTGCTATCACTGAAACTGAGCGGACTGCGGCCACGGCCCAAGCCACTGCTGCGGCTGCTCCTGATAGTGCTGCAGCCCGTGACCTCGCTCGTGTTCTTGCTGAGTCCCTCGAGAGCACCTGCAAGCGCCTCACTGAGCACCTCGCTGCCCCCTCTCCTCGCTCTGCCTCTACTCCATGCCACTCTACTCTCTAACCTCTGCCCTCATCCTCTTCGCCCTACTACCACCCCCTTCCAGCTTTGGACAGGCCGCCAGCCCTCTGTTCGCCCTCTGGGTGTGTCGCCCATGTTCTTGTCAATCCAGCAGACCAGTCCCGCCAGGGTGGGAAACTCGCTCCCAAGACACAGCTCTGTGCATTCCTTGGCATCAACTCTGACTGTCCTGGCTATCTTTTCTATGCCCCTTCCTCTCACCAACTCATCCACAGCCAGGACGTCATTTTCGATGAGACTCAATCCCCATTCCATTCCCCCCCCACCCGCCCCTCCTGTCCCCTCTCTTCACTGGTCTGATTTCGATCAGCCACCGTCTCAGCCACAGCTACTGCCTGGCTCCCCACTGCCTGCTCCTGCTCCGTTCACTGCGGTCACAGAGTCCCTCACTGAGAGTAGAGAGCCTGAGTCGCATCCTGCCATGCCTATCCGTACTCGTCACGTTGCCCATCCTCGTCCTCCACTTGTCCCAGGCACGCACACCATGGCACTTCGTCCTTCCTCTGTTTCACAGCGTGTTGTCCTGCCGTCGCCTCCTGCGTCCTCTCTTTCGCACGTTCCTGATCGTGAGTCTGACCGTGTTCGTGCTGTCAGTCCGACCGTCACTCGTCTTCTTGCTACGGTTGTGACTGACCCTTTCTTCGAGTCTGCTGCTTTGTCTGCCTTAGTTGCTGAGCTTGTTGACTTTGCTGCTTTGTGCCGCCTTTACTACGCTGCGGGTCTTGCTTCTGTCCTCCGTCCGTTGGGGGTGAGCTTGCCCTTAGTTGTGACTTCCTTAAGGACATGCAGTTTGAGTTGGAGTGCCTAGCAGTCGCTTCACCTCATCTCGCGTCCACGCTACTTCGCCTTGAGGGAGACCCGAATGCACTAGACATCCTGACCCCGCGTTCTTACGCAGACGCAATCACGGGTCCGTACTCTTCTCAGTGGCAGACAGCCATGGACGTAGAGATGGCTTCCTGGAAGTCCACAAGCACCTACTTCGACGCAGTTCCCCCACCTGGGGCGAACATAGTCGATGGCATGTGGATTTTCAGGGTGAAGCGGCCACCAGGTTTGCCGCCTGCCTTCAAGGCGCTTTATATTGCACGAGGCTTTAGTCAGTGTGAGAGGGTCGACTTCTTCCATACCTTCTCCCCCACCCCGAATATGATCACTCTTCGGGTGTTACTGCACGTTGCAGCACAGCGCGACTACGAGTGTGAGAGTACGACGGCTTATGCTGGCTTTGCTATCTTGCGTAGACTTTACTATGCTATATCTAGCTTGAGTTTTTTTTATCATGCATAGATATGCTTGATTTCCTAGGTTAGGTGCATTCCTATATTTTATTATAGTTATAGCATCGAACCAGGTGACTGTCAGAACATATAGCTTTTGCTTATTGTGTTGGCTATAGTGGGGTAGCCCATAAGGGGTACAACCCAATTAGGGTTAGTACTTGTACCCAACTCTTTCATAGTGCATTCATTCTCGTTTCAGTCTTCTCATGGTATCGAGCAGGTTCCCTCGTGGGAACTGTGCCTAGGGCCAACCAAGTCGATATTTTTTTTCCTGCCCGGAGCACGCTCAGCTCGAGTCGCGCTCCCCTCTCTGATCTCGTCGAGCCGCCCTAGCGGCTGCGTCGCGCCGCCCTTGCGGCCCCTGATCCGTCCCCCTTGCGGCCTCGTCGCCCTAGCGGCCCCGTCGCCCTAGCGGCCCCCTCGCCTAGCCCTACGACCCCAGCGCCGCCCTTCCCAGCCCCGATCTGCCGCCTCGCGGCCCCGTCGCCTACCCCCGCGGCCATCGTGCCGCCCTTTCCTGGCCCCGATCAGCCGCCTTGCGGCCCCAACGCCTTACCTGCGCACCAGCCCCGTCGCCCTACCTTCGACCCGGCCCCGTCGCCCTACCTACGGCCCGGCCCCAGCCCCGTCGCCCTACCTTCGACCCGGCTCCGTCGCCCTACCTGCGCCCCGGCCCTGGTCCCTTCACCCAACCTGCGCACCGGCCCCGTCGCCCTACCTTCGACCCGGCCCTGTCGCCCTACCTGCGCCCCGGCCCCAGCCCCGTCGCACTACCTCGACCCGGCCCCGTCGACCTACCTATGGCCCGGCGCCGGCCCCGTTGCCCTACCTACGACACGGCCCCGGCCCCGTCGCCCTACCTACGGCCCCGCCCGAGCCACCCGAGCCGCCCGAGCCGCCCGAGCCACCCGAGCCGCCCGAGCCGCCCAAGCCGCCCGAGCCACCCGAGCCGCCCGAGCCGCCCGAGCCGCCCGAGCCACCCGAGCCGCCCGAGCCGCCCGAGCCGCCCGAGCCGCCCGAGCCGCCTGAGGAGCTGAGGAGCTGAGCCGCTGGTGCCGCCGAGCCGCAGTTGCTGCCGAGCCGCCCAAGCTGCCCTAACCGCCCTGTCTAGTGAGCGCAGAGCCTCTGTCACCGCACTGCCCCTACTCTACAGTTAGCGCTACTAGTCTACTGCTGTCATGGCTACCCCCAGTGTCCTAACTTTTGACGCTGAGGGTCGGGCCATTGACTTTGACGTCTGGGTAGATGACCTCCAGCTTTTCCTACAATGCGATAGGGCAGACGGTCTCTCCCTCTTTGACCTCACCTCTGGTGCTTCCCCTGCCCCTGCTGTCGATGCCCACGCCACTGTTTGCTCACAGTGGGCCACTCGCAATGCTGCTGCACGTCTTGCTGTGCGTTGCCACCTCCCTACCACTAAGCGCGCGCACTTTAGTCAGTACAAGAGTGCTCAGACCTTGTACGACGCTGTAGTTGCGCGCTACTCCTCTCCTGCCACTGCTGCACTGAGCCGCCTCATGCTACCGTACCTCTTCCCAGACCTTGCTGCCTTTCCCACAGTCGCTGACCTCATGACACACCTCCGCACTAGTGACACTCGCTACCGCGCTGCGCTTCCTGCTGACTTCTGCGCCAAGAACCCCCCCCCCCCCCCCATGTACATCACTCTCTACTACATAGTCACTCGCCTCCCTGACTCCCTTCGCGTAGTCAGGGACCACTTCCTCTCGGTCTGTCCCACCACCCTCACTGTTGACCTCCTCGAGAAGTCCCTTCTAGCGGCCGAGAAGAGCATAGTCGCTGTAGGGGTTTCTCGTGGTGACCCGCGCACCCCCAACTTTGAGGGGTGTTCCCCCTCTCCCCTTCTGCCCTCTGTTGCCTCTGCTGCTGCGGCCGACCTCCTTGGTCTTGAGTTGGTCGGTGCGGCGTCTACCCCTAGCGGGAGACGCCGCTCTGGCAAGGGCAAGGGGGGCAGAGGCACTGGAGGAGGGAGCGGGGGCGGTGGAGGTGGAGGTGGAGGTGGCGGGGGGAGTGGGGGTGGCGGTGGGAGTGGAGGTGGGGGTGGAGGCGTCGGTGGCGGCAGTGGAGGCGGAGGCGGCGGAGGCGGTGGCGGTGGGAGCGGAGGTGGCGGAGGTGGTGGCAGTGGAGGAGTCGGCGGAGGCGGCGGCGGTAGCGGAGGCGGCGGAGGCGGCGGGGGTGGTGGTGGAGCTGGTCGTGGGTCTACGCAGAGGAGTGGCTACGGTGGTGGTTCGCGCCAGCAGCAGTAGCACGGTCGTGAGACCCTGTCCCCTCAGCAGCTCCGTGAGTGGTACACTGCACGCCAGCGGGGTGGGGTGTTTGGTCCGTGCACCTACGTCCTGCGCACCGGCGACCGTGCGGGTGAGCAGTGTGGGGGTGCGCACCCCACCCAGCGCTGCTTTGGCCGCCTGACGGACGCGTGGAGTCACTAGTTCCCGGAGGCCATAGAGATCCCTCGCTAAGGCGAGCTGTCTAGGGCGGGAGTTGCCGTTTATGATCTTGATTTTGATGCTATCCTTTCTGCCATGTATGCTGTGTCTATTAGTGATGAGGGTGACCGTTATCGGTGTTTCCCGCCTGATCCGGGCATTGAGACTGCTGCTCTAGGTACAGGTGAGGCTACTGCTCTAGGTGCCAGTGAGGCGGCTCCTCTAGGTGCCAGTGCGTCTGCGTCCTCAGGTGCTGGTCAGTCTGCGCTCTCAGGTACCGCGTCGGCTTCGGCCTCCCTCACCTTCACACTTGACACAGGGGCTTCTCGCTCCTTCTTTCGAGACCGCACCACACTCACGCCGCTTGGTCGGCCGGTTGCAGTCTCCTTGGCAGACCCCTCTGGGGGTCCTCTACTCTGTCACTTCTCCACTGTCCTCCCGTGTCCGGCTGCCCCCTGTGGCACCTTGTCTGGTCTTTACCTCCCCTCGTTCTCTACGAACTTGGTGAGTGGTGCTGACCTACAGGATGCCGTGGTTCACCAGTTTACTCCTGCGAGTCAGCGGGTGACCCACCGCTCGGACGCTCAAACAGGCCGGCACCTGGCCACGTTTACGCGTCGGCCGGGGTCGAGCATGTACACCCTGACCACTGAGTCTCCTACTGTCACTGCGTCTGGTCAGGTAGCTGCGTCGGGTCAGGTGTTTGCTGCAGCGTCTAGGTCTGGTCCTGAGTCTGCCCCCTGCTCGTGTCGCCACCTGTCTCACGAGACTCTCCTGTGGCACCACCGTCTTGGTCACCCCTCCCTGCCTCGTCTCCGAGGCATGGCCTCCCGTGTCCTTGTCTCTGGTCTTCCCCGGTACCTCCCTCCCCTTCCTCCG